AAAGACTCGCACCTGCCGCCCGCCGCGCCACGCCGCCGCGTCTGACCCTCTGAGAACCGCCCCAACCCGTCCGCTCTGATCGATTGGCAAGACCCACGAGACGCCGCTCGTGACCTCTCGCACAAAGGACCGGCTCTCTTCAAAAGCCGCAAAGTCTGCGACCCCACCCTGCCACCAACCGTCCAGCCGACGGGTCTCCTCCAGGAAGCTCATTTCGTGGTCTCGGCACCCTCTCTGTCCGCACACGCACAGGAACTTCCCCGTGTGGTCAATCCTCACAAGCCGAGGTGCGTTCACGAGCCCCCTCTCGGTCACTGTGATGTCCAGAAGGCGCCTGTCTGAGCCCCCAATCAGCGGGACCAGAAAGAGGCCAGGAGCAACGGCTGTCGGCGGGACCTTACTCCGTTTGAGCTCCAGTAGCATGCCTGGCATGGGGCCAAGCTCTGATGGCGCCGACCCCCCCTCAAGCGCCCTCTTCACCCCGCGCCTCGAAGTCCCCTTGAGCTCGGTACAGTATGGGCACGGGGCGAGGTCACGTCTCTGCACATAAAATTGATGCCCCCCTTCTCCCGCCGCCTCCCCCGACTGCGCCTGCCGCAGCTCTCCAAGCTTAGGAAAGACCTCGAACTTGGTGAACAGGTCCTCCTTGGCAACGGGACCACCTGTCTCTGCCGTCACAAAGGGCCGCCCTCCGTCGTATTCGGCCTCCACGCAGCGAAGGCACAAGAGATGCCCCCCAGCTCCCGGGCAAATGAGCGCCCCACCCCGATTGCGCTTGCGCTCCCAGACGAACGGCTCCCTACCTCGGACATAAACCGGGTTCTTCCCATGGCATGTGCTGCCGATGCAAGCACAGCCAAACCCACTCCGAGTGAAGGCGTCCGCGTGCCGCAGTTGGAAGGCCAGCCCGTAATCAAAGACGAAGTCGCGCCCCCCTTGTCGAGCGGCAAAGGAGGGACGGCCGCCCAACACGCCTCCTGCATTTGGCAGAGGCGGAACGGCAGCCGGAACGCTCCTGATGTCGCCGAAGACGGGAGCCGGACCCTCGAAGTGGACCGCCGCACAACTCCTGACGGCTTGACCGGCCTTCAGGTTCTCGTGCAGGCTCGCCGAGGCCGCAGGGGTGGTCGATGCGACGAGAACGATGTCGGAGGGTCCTTTCTCGTCACGGGACGCCGTCATTGGATTCATCCTGGGACCGAGGAGAAAGCTGTGACTTTGAGCACGTTTCGATGGCCCTGAGTCTCTGCAGCAACCCTGAATTCCGCTCATCATGCGGAACACAAAGTTGAACGTCATGCAGTGGGCCCGATGGCCGCCCAACGTTGGTCCACACCTTGCAAACTTGACGCGGACCGTTCTTTTCAGCAAAAAGCCCAATTCCTAATAACCATCAATTGGCATGTGTGGTCCATCAGGACCAAAGCTGCTGCCCACACCCTGCAACTTGAAGGTGTACCAGAAAAGCACGCATTAGGTTCTAAAGAAGTACTACAGCGTTTCCTGGTACAGGCTCATCGCGGACTGGATGGTTGGAAGTCGAGGCTGGCCATACCCTGCAACTCGGAGGTGTACCAGAAAAACGCCTATTAGATTCTAAAGAAGTAACACATCGTTTCTTGGTACACGTTCGCGACTCCCTCTGAGCTTTCTCCCAAATGAAACGCTCACACCGTTTAAGGGGCCGGCCATGCCTGCCAAGATGTTTCGAGAAATGCCCATTAGATTTTTGAGAAGAAGTGCAATATTGCTTGGTACACACGATCGTTCCCCGACTCGAAAGAATTTGGCAGTACGTCACCGAGTGTCCCGCCGCCAGAAAGCTGCAGCGGCCTCAAAGCTTCTGCAGACCCGGCAATGTCCTGCGGGATGTACCAGGAACCGCCCATTAGATTCTTAAGAAGTAATACGCGGTTTCTTGGTACACGCTGATTTGTGCGCTGGATGGCAGGCATTCCGTTTTAGGGGCTGCAAGCCCAGCCATACCCAGCAGCTTGGCAGTGTACCAAAAAGAGGCCCATTAGATTCTTAAGAATTAATACTCCATTTCTTGGTACATGCTGACAGTGTGCTGGATGGCTGG